GGTCCCTGTGGTTTAATTATTACCAAAGCTCTTTGTAAGATGACTCTCGTCATGAGATAGAAAACCTCGCTGCTCACACTTAGCTGCCACTTGCTGTTTTTGTAGCACTGTGCAGCGTTTGATAGCGTTATGCCAAAAATTATTAAGAGCTTTTTAGTGGGATATGATCCCATTAACAAAAGCAATACTTTTGCTAGTGGCGATTATATTACAGGACAAAATACACTGGAGTTGTCACAGGAATGCAAAATACAGTCACTCTTTGTAAAGCTGAAGGGAAAGGCGGAAAAACCGTCATAACCTATCACAGCAAAGACAAATACTTCACCATCAAGCAGTTTGTCATTCAGGAATCTCAGGGTAAGTACGCTGAAGCACCCCCAAAATGAATCAAAGCACCCACAAAGATTTCTTACTTTTTTGACAATATTTGCTGTTTGTGTGACACACTACTAAAAATATAAAAAGCATACAGTACTTAATTGAGACGGAACATTTTAACAACAAAAGTATAGATACACCCCCCCCCCAAATGGTTTGTTCCAGCTCGGCTTTCCCCTGCTCTGGCTCTAGAGTCCTTTGTGCCAGAGCGATGGTGGCTGAGATGCAGCGGAGCTGAGGTGTGAGTGCCTGGCTCAAAACAGGACATATTAGCTGCATTTAACCTTCAGTTACTCTTTATATAGTTTGGTAGGAGTCAGACCATGTTTCTTTTTAGCTGAAAAACTTTACACCCAGGTAACCTACAGTGTTGAAAACGTGTTTTCCGACATGTTCGCTACCCTACAATCCGTCCTACTGTGTAATAAAATCAGCGACATTTGACCGCCCTGTTGCTCCCATTAAAATTTATACAGCCAATTTAAAATCTAAAACTTTAAATTGTTTGAAAGTACACTGAGAGAGGACTTTTTTATTAGTGATCTTAATAATATTTTTTTCATCTAATTGAATACAGTCTATTTGTGATTATCATTCCAAAGAGGGAGAGAGGATAGATGGGAACGTGAGGAGAAAGTACAAGGTCAGGAAGAACCAGGTAAGAAAACAGACAGGGAACAGTGACAGGCAAAACAGAAACTGTTAAACTGCTTGAGAGACTTGACCACCAAAAAGTGATAGACAGATTTTCCAACCTCAAGGTGAGGCGACATAGGTTAAAATAAAATAAAAAATCTGCAGAGCCATATCTGCAGTAAAGATCTTTTCATACATTGTATACATTGTTGCCTCCATTTTTATAATTTTTCTATCAATATTTTGTACATTTCAAGGACTCTATTTTTGGAGTGTATTTTTATGTATCTGTATTATATTATACATACACATTAAAAGTGAATCTCTGTCCAAAAAATGCACTCAGTTTACTTCTTACTCACTATGATCATCATTCATAATTTTCCCCTAGTAATTAAGGTTAGGATATGTATTTTTTTATTCCAATCCCTTCTTCTTTTGCAGCATTTAAATAACCTTGATCAGATTTGATGGTTTTGTTACAGACTTTTGCTTTTCTTTCACAATTGTGGGAATTAACTTGTGTTAAAATTTACAAAACAGTGATGTCGTGTTTTTTTGACGAGGACCCAGGCACAGAGAGACTTGATGAATTTAAGAATCTTATGATTTAATAAAGAAATTTGCAGACTTGCACAGAGATGGTAAAATTATGATGACTGATAACGGAGATGAAGACAACAGACGATGAGGACAGGAAGGAACAGGGGTTTAAATGCACCAAGGAGACATCCAGAGGGAACTCTGTACAACTGGAGACATTTAAGGATGCAGGGACTGACAGAGACAGGGTCTCAGCATGACGAGTAAAGATTATCTTGCCTGGCTGAGCAGCTCTCTGGGTGCTCAGCACCCCCCAAAGCTCTGATCCTAGAATCTCCCCTGCCTGCAATCATATTTTTTTTCTTGCAACTTTAATTACCGTGCAAGTCAACCCCCAATAATTACTTATTTAAAAACTATTATTATAAGGATAAGCACTCTTGAGTGTTTTCAATTTTTCCTTAAATGATATCCTGCCACTCACCCACTTTGATTTGTTAATAGTATTGTCCTGTCTTACAGAGAGCTGCCCTCCTCCTTCAGGGGCTCACATGGAAAGATTGTGTATAGATTGGAGGCAAATCTGAGCCACTCAGTGAGAAAAGACAGCAAAGCAAAGGCAGAGTTCACTCTCATCCACAAAGGAAACCTTGATGGAGAGCTTATGGTACCCTTACAAACTGCCATATGTTACACTCCTGAATTAACACTGCATGTACATAAATTGTGATTTTCTTCTCAGACTCTGCAGCAAAATATGACTGATAAGAAGATGAACCTCTTCACATCAGGATCAGTGGCCATGGATGTAAGCATTCCAAAAACAGCCTGCCTCCAAGGTAATTATGACTTGCTCGCAATCTCACATTACTGAAATATACATTCACTCCACAGGGAATCTTTTTATGACTGAAGATAGACTATGATGACAGATAAGGCATGTAGTGCACATGTTGGTTAAATGTGAAATGTGTTATATTTTTGCAGAAATATAGAAAATCTTAAAACCTTTGCGAACTCATTCCTGCAAAGATCAAACAGATGATGACACAGCTTAAACTCTTAAAAGTTTGCAGTACTGAAATCCACAGCTCCACAGCTTTGTATGCAGCATAACATCAATGTAATTATATTGTAGGACAGAACTTTAACCTGATGTTGTTGTTTTTCCAGGAGAAGACATAAAGGTCATGGCTTCAGGTCAGAACAAATCCTCTCGTGACATTAAACTCAAGTACTGTCTCTACAGAAAGAACAGCTACTTTGCAAATAAGAAAAGGAAACTTGAAACAAAAGACATCCTGAAAGAGGAGGGTGAAGCCATCCTACAGTCAGTCACCAGACAGTCACCAAGATCATCAACGTCCCTTCCACCGAGACCGCCTCAGTCCTAAACTGCAACATCATCAAATTAGAGAACAGACTCCGGGTGAATAGGCCTATTTCATCTTCCTGAAAGTATTTCCCAGGCCTTGTTAATATCTTTATTTAATCAAGTATGCATTACGAGTCTAATAAGCACTGACTCTTTCTAGGTCCATCTGGATGTGAAGTATGCTTCAGACCCAGAGATCAAGTTCCCCATAATCATCCTGCCTGCTTTAGAGGGGTCTGATAAGCAGCAGTCATCTGACTATTCAGCCAGTGGATTTGAAGCATCTCCAAACTCTGACTTTCCAGAAGGGACAAGCTTTCTACAAAATCCAGCTGCCCCTGGAGTTGATGGCTTACCACCTTGCTATGAGACATATGACATGTACCCCTCTTTCACAGGTTCAGACAGAAAGTCCTAGAAGCTCGGCTACAGATTTGGAGGGTACTGGGCTCTTTTTATTTTTGATTCTGATTTAAATATTCTGAATAGCTCAAGGAAGTAACACGATGTGTTACAGAGATGATATGATATCTATAAAAAATCACTGTATATAGCCACTTATAAAAACATTTATTCCACACATTACTTAGTGCCTCAGAGAAAATGTATATTTTCATTTATTTTATCAGTGTGATGATAGAAGATTTCCATGACCGAGGCGTATTTTGATACATTTTTAACAGATGGATTTTTAAATATCAAATCTTTGCCACTCATCTTTATTGCTGTAGAGTAGAACAGGGCCAGCAGGAGCAGATTCTGTGAATCCATAAAATACACTCATTGAATATATTTAATTATAATTATAATATTTTTAATATTAGTTCGTTTTAAGTTTTAAAAAAGATGTAGTCAGGCTTATTTGAGCTTTTTTTTTGTGATCTAATGTTTTGTTGGGAAGCACTGTGTGATGTTTATCTTGAAAGGTACTATTGAAGTAATCCTTTTATTTGGTCTACAGCATTAATACACAGAGCTAATTTGTTCTAAATATATGGATTTATAAATTTCACTTTATATGCTGCGGTATATTGATGCTGATGGGTATTGAGATTTAAGAAAAATGTGTTTGTACTGTTCTTCAAGTACTGTTTATGGGAAACTGATAAACAGCCCATAACAATAATCCTAATGCTGAGATTGTTTCTGAGACATCCACATGTCCACAGCAAATATACTGAGCCCCACAAATGGGCCCTAGTGTATTACCAGTGTGGAATAAAAAAAAATGTGCATGTAAAAGGAATGTGTATGTAAACAGGTATATGTATTATGAAATCCTTTGAGTGATGGATAAGACTAAAAAAGGCTTTTACAAATGCACTCCTTTAACCAAACACTTTGAAGCTCTGCTCTGGGATGTCTTCATACGACTGTGTCCGGACAGACTTTGCTAACAGCAGCACCACATCTGTGCCAGATACAAACTCAGACCTGGTGTATAACACTTCAATAAAAAAACAAAACAAACGAATGTGTCAAAACTTGAGATATGAGCTGTGCGGGGCTTCCAAAAAAAGGCAACAAGTCACGGAGTCTGAGCCTTGTAGCTGGAGTGGCTAATGAATAGAAACCTGACTGGCCAACAGGTGTGCATGAGAACACAATGGGCCAGATTTGGCCAATGGGCTACGACCACAGAATAATGAGGACTTTTTATGTAACTTTACCTTTAGACACACTGGTATATGGATGCACTCTCCTTTAACTAAACACTCAACATTCCCAGTGTTTAACCACATGTTTAACTCCATGATCCATGCAAGTCACACCTTATTGTCCATAATGCTATTTGCGCCTACACACACTAGTACGAGGTTAGTGTTTCATAATTTCATTTATAGAAGCACCATGCCTACACATTTTATTTACACAAGATTTAATTACTCTAGCAGACATTTACAATGTTTCTTATCAATAAACATGAATATTTTAGGGCCCTGTGGTTTAATTATTATCAAAACTCTGTGTACTTGCACCTACAAAACCCTCCTCATGACACATAAAACCTCTCTCCTCATGCTTATCTGGCATTTACTGTACTTGCAGCTTTGAACAGTGTACTATGTCAAGTAGTGTTAAGAACTTTACAGTGGGATACAATCCCCTAAACAAAAGCAACACTTTCAGTAGTGGTGATTATCTCATGGGACAAGTTACATTTGAATTAACTAATGAGTGTGAAGTACAGTCACTCTTTGTAAAGCTGAAGGGAAAAGCTCAAGTGTCATGGACTGAAAATTATGGGAAAACTATTGTGACTTACCAAAGCAAAGAGAAGTACTTCAGCATCAAGCAGTTTGTCATTCAGGAATCTATGGGTAAGCTAATGTCTTTCAATTTAGCACAATGCTGTAATCATTTTAAATCGTGGTATGTTTAATTAATCTGCTACTGTTAACAGAAAAGCTTTTATTTGAATGATCATTTATACAAAAAATAAATGCCTTTTAACTAGTAAGGTTAGTACAATCTTGACCAGCTGATGGCAGCAATAATAGCAGGAATAACATTATCCTGCTCTTCTCTTTCTGTAATTTCCTCTCTTCTTCAGAACTATTTGCAAACCTGCTATTTCAATGAGCAGCCCTTCTAAAAACAGTCACAGAGACAAATTTACAAACCTTCCTTTAATCAGACATAAAAAAAAACATGCTATCTGACTAATTCATTGTTCCTTAGGCAAAAATGTTCTTTCCCCTGGCTGCCATGTCTACCCATTCACCTTTCAGATTCCAGTGCAGTGAGTTTTCTTCTGAACAAAATTATTTCCATTGGTGTTCCATATAAACATATTCAAACATGTTTCTTTATTTTCTATAACAATATCCTTTCATTTAAGTTTCATTGCACCTTTTGTTGCCACATCTTACAGAGACCTGCCGTCCTCCTTCAAGGGCTCATGTGGAAAGATTTTGTACACAGTCGAGGCAAATCTGAACCGGTCAATGAGAATGGACAGCAAAGCGAAGGCAGAGTTTACCCTCATCCAAAAGACAAACCATGATCCAGTGATGATGGTACCCTTACATTGTTGTTGAACAAATACACACATGCACACACAGATTTTCTAAAATTCACCCTTTTTTTTATGTTAGAGCCCACAGCAAAATATGATTGATAAGAAAATGAAGGTCTTCTCGACGGGATCTGTGGCCATGGATGTAAGCATTGCAAAAACAGGCTTCTGCCAAGGTAATTTAAACCATTACTGAACCACACAGTCAATCTGCACGTCATTCTAATAGTGGATTACAGTAGAAAATGGCAATAGAACACATTGAAATTCATCTATAGCTGAAACATGTGCAGCTCAAGGTCAATTTGCTCATGGAACACATTTATGGTCTAAAGATAAGATGATATCTAATGTAGGTCACAGGCCATGGAAGTAAAGACCGGGAACTAAATGTGATGTAAATACTTCACTCCTAAACGCATACCAGGAAATGTCCAAATGTAATCTTGGTACATGACCTCAAACCGTCCTCTCCTTGTAGTACTGCTGTCAAACTTTAAACTCATATAATTAAATGCATTTGTCTTCTGTGTGGAATTAATGCAAGTCATTGATTTTGTGATAGTGAAACTCGCAACTTAAAAGTTTCATATTTCTGTAACCAGTTTTTTGATTATTTGTAAATTCATGGCAAACAGAGCTCATATACTCATGTATAACCTGTTCTTGTTGTTTTTCCAGGAGAAGGCATAAGGGTCATGGCTTCAATTCAGAACAAGTCCTCTCGTGACATTAAGCCCAAGTACTGTCTGTACAGGAAATACAGCTACTTTGCAAATAAGAAAAGGAAAGTTGAAACAAAAGACATCCTGAAGGAGGAGGGTGAAGCCATCCCACACTCTGCAGGTCAGACTGTCACCAGGATCATCACCGTACCTTCCACCGTGACCACCTCAATCCTAAACTGCAACATCATCAAAGTAGAGTATAGACTCCGGGTGGGTAAGCCTATCTATCTTCACTTTTATGTTGTTCTGCATCAATGGGGTTGCATGGTAATGTTGACTCTTTTTCCACCACAGGTCTATCTGGATGTGAAGTATGCTTCAGACCCAGAAGTCAAGTTCCACATAGTCATCCTGCCTGCTTTAGAGGGGTCTGATAATCAGCAGTCATCTGACTTTTTGACCAGTGAATTTGACCAATTTCCAAATCCTTACATGTCAGGAGGGATGAGCTTTCTACAAAATCCAGCTGCCCCTGAACCTTCTGCTCCACCACCTTCCTATGAGACATATGGGATGTACCCCTCTTTCACAGGTTTAGATAGAAAGCCCTAGAATCTGTAGTGCAGATCTAGTTTTTATTGCTATTTTTTATAATAGCAATTAATTAAGAGTAAGAATAAGAGAATAAGAGTAAGAATAATTGGTAATAGATTGATTTACAGCTTGATATTCTGGTTTAATTTCAGTCGTTGACCATATTTGTTCCCTTTAAATGTGTAATAGCAGGAATAAAAAAATATTTAATAAATAATCCTCTCATTCCAAAGATTATATATTGTCCACATTAATTATTTTTAATCCATCTGACAACAGAAGACTCACATTTGTGATCTCTGAACTATGACCAGCAACAAGATGCTGTTGACCAATCATGTCTCTGAACACTAAATGTTTGCATTATTTTCCCACTGAGAAAATGCAAGTCACATTACAGGTGTGCTGGAAATAGAACAGTGGACAGTCCTGCACTTTGCTTTTCTGTATAGCCTACTAACATGAAGCATCTAGGAAAATCTTAAGACCTTGATTAAATGTTTTTGTAGTAACGGGTGGTGTTATTATATTTTTTAACAAATAACTGAGCAGACAGTTGAACACAACAATCTGCAGTGGCTAGTTCCTATACTACGATTAATAAAAATCATACGCACATTTTCTCATGCTTCATCCCTTTTTTCTCAACATACTGTAGTGTCTTTATGGTTAAATGAGTTTTACTTGTGGTATTTTAGCATGATAGAATTTCATCAGCCTGAAACAGTCTGGCTTCCTTAAAAAGCTGTGCTTGCCTCAGAGCAGTTAAAGAAACACCAACGTAAAGTTGAATGCTGCTTGAAGTTATTGTTCCTAAGTTTCCAAGCTTTCTGTTGATTCTGCACTTCATGGTGTTAATTTGTGCTGGGTCATTCTCATAGATATAATGCCACATGTGACATGGCTCATTGTCTTTAATAACTACTGGTAGCAATGACTGAAAGATTAATTGGCTCTGTTTTGAGTTTTGTTCAAAAAAAGAATGACTTCATATAGGGAAAGATATATATCACATGTGCAGGACACCTGAAACTAGTTTTTTAATTAAGCAGCAAGGAAGAACAAGGTCAGGGCTGTATCAAGACATGAGGACTAAACCCCAATTCAACCAGACCCAGAACTGATCC